TGATAGCTCGGAGCGTGGAGGCTGCTTTGGAGTCTGTGTCTCTCCCTCTCTCTCTCTGCCCCTCCCCCCGCTCACGCTCTGTCTCTCCATCTCTCAAAAATGAATAAATGTTAAAAAATAAATAAATAAATAAATAATCTGTGTTGTTTTAGGCCACTAAATTCGTGGCAATGCATTTCAGCAGCAATAGGACGCTAATACATCCTTCTCTGGCCTTAGCCCCTTACTGTGCTGACTCTCCTGGTAATTCTTCTCTGGCTCCAAAGCTACACAGCTCACCCAGCTAAACAGAAGCCTTGCAGTTGCCCAAACCCACCCTCCTTAAAGGCAATTCAGCAGCCATCTGTTGTTAGGCAAGTTATGTATCCCTTGACAAGAGGGCTCACATTGGCACACCTCACAGCCTGTGCTCACGAGTTTCACAATCTGGCCAGGAGGCAAAGACACTTCTTAACCACACAGTGCAATTCTCTGAGAGCATCCTGCTCTGAGCTCTTGGAAGCAAAGGGGAGGGGAGCCCAGATTGGATAGGAGGGATCAGGGAAAGCTTTCTGGAAGAGGTGGCACAGAGCTGAGTTTTGAAGGGTATGAATAGTCAAGTGAAAGGAAGCAAAGGACAGTGGGTCAGAAAGACTCTGGGGCGTGAAGAGAAATACAGAGACAAGAGAGAGACATGAGAGACAGACAAACACTGCAAATTGTAGAGGCAGAGAAAAGGCCACAGAGAAAGAGGCAGAAAACAGCTGACTGTCATGACTGGCTACTCCCAGCCCAGCCTCCCTCCAGTTCTGGGACAGAAAATAGCCTGGCTGACCCATAGTGTGCAAAGCATTTCCTGTGCAGCCCTGGGGACCCCTGAGCTGTACTTTCTCAGGGGTGGGGCTGGCTGAGAGGGGGGCAGTGAGGGCAGAGGAGGAGGAGACAAGAAGTCCTGGGCCTGCATCAACTAACTCTCCAGGACAAGAGTGGCTGAAGATGGGGAGGAAGTGACATGCGTATGTCAGGATCCATGTATGTGTATGAGCCACGAGGGTGCCAGAGGTGTGTGTGATGCACTTCCATGTGTGCACGTGGCTAATCCTAGGGTCCTATGTCCCTTCCTGGAAAGTGAAGGCTGGACGGACAGACAGCAGGTCATGGTGGACACCTCTCTATGTTATGTCCCTGGGTGAAAGGCAGCTCTGAGAGCCTTCTTGAGTACACAAGCCATCCCCCCTGGCGAGCCAACAGCTTCTATGTATCAGAAGCAGCTTCCAGTTGACTCTTTATGCTGCCTGTTCCCCAAGGGCACCACCTCTCTGTGCTCCCTTCAGGGGCCAATGACCTGGTCTCAACTTTTGCTGGGGAATGAGTGATCCAGCCAGAACCTTCTCTGAGGAACTTTTCCAAGTAAAAGGGTGGGGGGGGGGGGGGGGAGGCAGGGGTAGAGTTAGGCCTAGCTTTCAGAACATCTCATTGTGAAAGATCTCTTTGTCTCAGGGAGATCCCAAAGCTGCCCCAGTGACTTTAGCCTAGACCCTTCCCCCACCCTCCTCATTGAGTCCCTGTCCCCACCTTCCCCAAGGTCATTTTTGAGACTATCTTTAACCAGCTCTTTCCTTTCTTTTTTCAGTTTATTATTTTACCCTCTACCTCTGCTAGATTTTTTTAATATTTATTTTATTTTATTTTTTTGAGAGAGAGAGAGAGAGAGAGAGTGCAAACGGGAGGGACAGAGAAAGAGAGAGAGACAGAGACAGAGAGCATGAGTAGGGGAGGGGCAGAGAGAGGGAGAGAGAATCGCAAACAGGCTCCATGAGGTCAGGGCAGAGCCTGACTTGGGCTGATCCCACGAACCACGAGATCATGACCTGAGCTAAAATCAAGAGTCTGATGGTTAACTGATAGAGCCACCCAAATGCCCCTAGCCCTGCCAGACTGTCATCATTCCAACACATGGAGATGTCTTTGAATGTGGAGCACACTTTTTTCTCTCTGATGGTCCTGCTTTTGGAAACATTCTAGCAGAGCCTGAGTAGCCATTGGCTGGGCTGGGCTGCCACAGAAGGACTGCTCCAGAGGGGATTCCTGCTGGCGGGGGTCGGGGGGGGGGGGGGGGGGGGGGGGGGGGGGGGGGGGGGGGGGCAGCTACACACACCGCAGGAAGTCATCCAGGGGAAACAAGGTAGTCCCTCACTCCCCTCCTAGGTCTGAGTTCTCAGCCAGGATTACCTCCCATGACCTTTTGGCTCAAACTCTGACACACCTAACAACCAGCCGGGACCTTTGACTCGACCACATTGGGACCCATGGAGCTCATCCAAAAAAACCACAGAAGAGCTGCTAGGCTGGATATACACTAGCTTCATCTGGCCAGGCCAGGCCAGGCCAGGCCAGGCCTTCCTCACCCTCACTGCACCTACTCCCTCAGCAGATAAGAGGTACCATCGTCCCTGCCTTCCCAAAAGGAGACCACTGAACTCCTGGCTTAAGGAAAGGGAACTACCATTTATTGGACATCCGTCATGTATCTCCTTTAGTCAACACACCAACCCTTCTAAAAGGTCACTGCTGTTGTGGAGAAGAACGGATTTCCAGAGGAGGCTAAATCAGGATCTGGAGTCAGGTTGTATCTGACACATGAAAATGACAGTGCCCTCTCCTCCCAGCATCCCTCCACAAGAGGAGGGTCCAACATGGGGGGAGTACACAGAAAGGGGGCTCCTGGAGAGAGACCAGAGCAAGATGCACTTTCCCCCGGCTCAGCTAGGACTGGGCCAGAAGCTCAGGGAGAGAGGGGGAGCTGCTAGCAGGGGAGATGCCTTTCCCGGGGGATTATGTGAGAGAAGGCTCACAAGCCACACTGTTTGGGGGCCCAGTGACCCAGTACAACTTGGATTTGGTGAGAGGAGCCTTCTCTCCACTTCTTCATAGAATTCCACGTGGCTCCAGCTCAGCAAGGGCTGAGGGACATGTGATGTCACCTGGCACCCTGTCTGCAGGTTTGAGGGCACTGGGACAGCACTGGGCTTGGAAGAAGGGTCCCTGTAGCCCTTCTGGGGCCCGCAGGCCAGGGCCACTCATGAAACAGCACGCTACGAACACACATGGCATATCCTGGGGACTCTGTGACCAAGTAGAAGTCTGGGGTCGTATAGATGCAGAGCTAGGAGGCAGAAAAGGTAAGGTCTTAACGTCAATGCAATTTCATTTGTAACCATAGGTTGCTGAAGCCAGGGAAAGCCACATTTCATGAACCTTTATGGATGTCAATCGAGCTCAAAGAGGCCAAGTCCCTTGCAGAGGTGGGAGAGCCAGTGCCATGCTGAGTCTCTGGCTCCACAGCCACGATCCTTCCAGTACACTAGTCTACCTGGGCACCCCTGATGTTCACGTCAATGCCAACGTCCCAGAAATCCTCTTAGTCATCCCACCCCACCTCCCTTCCTAAGGCCAGTGCATTTGTGGTGAGTGATCACAGCAGCACAGAGGACTAAGGCCTTTGCAAACCCCTGCCCTGCCCAAGAGGTGCCATCACACCTGCCCCCACCCTCATCATGCACCTAAGAAACTGCTTGCCTTCTCTGGAAACTTTGGCCCCATTCCCCAGGCCACTGCAGAAGCGGCCACATTCTCGCCTAATACTTGCCCTTCCCTGGCTACTACCTGTCAGTCAAGGGACAGGTACATGGACCAGTGGACCTCCTGTCTGGGATTTCTGGATTTGGAAAGCAAGGACTACAGTCAGTCCTGTGATAGAACCTGTCTTGTATCAGACTTGGGAGCTCTCAGCAGCCGTATTCCTCCACGTGGAAGAAACAGGTGTGCACAGAGGTTAGTGCCACCGCAGAGAAACACCCGGAGGTGAGAGGAGCAGAGAAAGTACTGGTGGCCTTCATGGCTGTCACTGAAGCTGGTTCGCAAACTATGAAGCACTTTTTGCCTGAAAAGCTGTAAGCTGGATTTCGGCCACTTGCTTAAGGCGCTGTCCAGCCTCCACATGCCCTTTCCCTTCCCTCCCAGGAGAGGCAGCACAAAGCAGCAGCACCAGGGAGAAGGAAAGCAGGAGGAAAGCCAGAAGGTCCCATGGGCCTCTCTCAACAATGGCACGGGCAGCCCATTGTTCGTTCTGGGTTGAGACACCTCCCCGGACACCCCCACTGCTCAGCTGGCAGCCAAATGAGGCAGAGGCAAGAATGGGTAGTAGAGGCAGTTCTAGTATCTTCAGAAAGCTGATGCCCGGGGACCACCTCTTTCACTACAACTTCCCAAGGGCAGAGAGGGAAAGAGAAGAGTTCAGATGGGGGACAAGAGAACAAGGTGTTCTGTGCTAGGGCAGGAGTGACCCCAGGCCTGGGTGGAGAAAGGGGCTGGGAGACTTCTGGTCAGTAGAAACAAAGATGGATGTTTGATCTCTACTTAGACTTCCAGGGTGGCCTTGAGTCAGCCATTTCTCTTTTCTTTCCTTCAGGGACCCCACCTGTGAAATATGCAACGGGAGAATATATTCTGCGCAAAAGAAACCTGATCTCTCCCAACTTGGCCTCATGTGTGACCCCAGACCCACTCCTAACCTTAGCACCTGCCAAACTCCTCTGAACTCTAGCTGCTGGGATTGTCTGTATGCCTGCCCAAGGTAGGCAAGCCCACGAGGCCAACCCAGGGGCCTCAGTTGTCAGACACACTGGGACTCCTCTGTTGGTGCAGGCATCAGCGTCCCATCAGGGAAGGGACAGGAAGCTAGGACCCGAACAGGGAGGCTGAGCTACTCCAAGGCAAGATCCAGCCCAATGCTGATGTCTTTAGACCAGTTTGATACTCAAAGCAGACATATTCCAGAACTGGAATTTTAGGGGATGGGGATATTCAGAGCAGGAGCCCAGTCCACAGTTTAGGAACAGAGAAACCAGCCCAGACCCTCTGAGGGGAAAGAGAGAAAGGTAAGGAGACAGGAACGAGCCCAGTCAGGGAATCAGGAAGCTAAGCAGGGCTTAAAAACTGGATAAGCTGGAAAAGCATACCTGGGAGTCAGACAGCTGTTGTCCAGGGGTGCCCAGGACTCACACACACCAGGCTGTTGGCAACAAAAGCTAATTCCAGAGCCCAGTGGCCTGCCAAGGCTCAGGGATCAGACCGGGCTGAGTGGTGAGGTCGGCCCCTGCAGCTAAGCACAGAGTGAGAAGACGCTGAGAGTCACATGCAGGACTATGCTTGGGAGGAGGCTGTGTCATCGCAAGGCCATGTGGGAAGAGAGCCCAGAGCAGCGGCTTAGAGACAGAGTCTTATGGCCGTCGTGCCCCCCAAGTCCTAAGTAGCCACAACTCACACCTGTGTGGGCGGTGTGGCACACAGGGCAAACTGTGTCTGCGTGCAAGGGCTGGAGATGGCCCAACCCTGGGGCACAGGGCCGACTTGGGCAGCTCACTCAGAGGTCCCTGGCATCTGAGTGTTGGCGCAAGTGTGCTCTGGACTCACTCCACTGATGGAAGAAGAGCACCATACACAGAGTCCAAACCCCACAGACACTCCAAGGAGAAGAGGGCCATTATCGCACTCAAGCCCTCTCTCCTCACTCATTTATTTTCTTCTACTTATCAGATTCTGTGGTATAGCACATCCTCCAGCTAAGCGCTGTCCAACAGAACATTCCACAATGATGGAAATGTTCTGGCTCCTCTGTCCAGTACAGTAGCTACCAGCCACGTGCAGCTGGCGAGGAGCTGAATTGTTAGTTTTAATCCATTACTTTTCACTTTTAATCGTTGCACATGGCAAGTGGCCACCATATCGAACAGTGCAGTTTTGGCTCTTCCGTGTGGTGGGGCGGTAAAACCTTCCGAGATCCAAACGTTTAACCGTGTCCATGTACCAGGAGCTACCAGAAATGGCTCTCTGTCCAGGGTAGGGCTGAAGGGACAGGGAACAAGAGGGAAAGGGAAAGAAAAGAAAGGCCTATGCATTACCTTATTTCGTCCTCACAGAAACCCTGCAAAGTGAGATTATCCCCACCTCACAAATGAAGACACTGAGACACAAAAAGCTTTAATAACCTGCCTAAGGTCATACAGTTAGTTAGGGCCAGAGTCAAGGTTTGAACCCAAGTGTATGACCTCAAAGCCCCTGGTTTTCCACCTCATTACACAGCTGAGGAACAAAGTGCCCCTTCCTGGCACTGACAGCAGGGCAAAGCCCCGGGCTGCCAGACGTCTCTAACCTGCCTCTTCCTGAGCTAGGTCTGCCCTGTTACAACTTCTCCATTTGGCCTGAAGTGAATTTGTAGAACTCAGACACACCCAGATTCACACACAAGGCCAAAGGCACATGGCCAAAGAAAGATGATCTGCTTCTGTGCCGTCCATTAGTGCAGATAATTAACAGTTGATTTGATATTCTTGGCATACGGGAAGGCACAGCTCTGCTTTGTTTGGGCTGATACTAAAATACCTCTTCACTCCCCTGCACACGCTGATTCGCTCACTGCTGGAGGACCAGACAGCGGGGTCAGAAGTGAGCTGGAAGGGAAGGAGATGAGGGTGGAGAAGGAACTAACATTTCTCAGACCTCTAATTTCATGCCAGGTACTAAGAACTTCAACAGACCATCTCGAGTACTGATCATCTTATGAGGTGGTTGTGATTCTTCTGGTTTTGTGGGAGCAGGCCTGAAGCTCGGAGAGGTGAGGGGGCCTGGCCAAAGTCACACAGGTGACAGCGGCAGAGTATGACCTCAAAGTCGAGGTCTGCTCGACTCCAAGCCCGTTTTATATCACACTGGCTCTTGGCAGAGATCTAGAAAACCCACCACTGCTAATAAAGGGCCTGAACTCCTTTCCAGGTCTGTCTGGCACGACGCCCGAAAGCAGACTCCTGCTGCAGCCATCCCTTCTCCCAGAAGTTCAGGCTCCCATGAGCAGGAGTGGACCCCAGCCCCCAACCTCATTGTGCAGTCAGTGACAATGAGAGGCAGGCTGTCCCTTTCTCACCCACCGCTTTCCTCCCCACCCCATGGGGTGCTGCCAGTTCAGCACAATAGTGCATTCTGTGTCCAAGAGCCTCTGCTGGCGGCCCCAGGCTTTTGCAGCCCCTCCAGACAATGGCAGGACCCAAAAGGCCTGATAGCCGGTGACAAATGTATGTGAATGACCAGCTCACAGGAAGTGGCCTTCAATAGTCCGATAGCTTCCTGTATCCTGACATTGTGAAAGCCCACTTCCTGTGCTGTCTCTGAAAATACAGCTCGGCAAAGCTGGGGGCAGGGGCAGTGGTGGGGCTTCCCTGTCCACCCCCTGGCCCAGGCAGGATTCAACATTCCCTGCCAAGAAAGCCACCCATCTCACCTCATTTCTGATTCAAGGGTGAATTCCCTGCTGGCCTCTGCCCTGTTTCTCCACCTCTTTGCCAAACCCCACCCAAGCCCAATCAGAACAAAATGACCTATTTTTAAAGACTGTGTGGCCTTCCTCAGTAACAGTCCCCTAGCCCCCAGTTCCAGGATCTCAGGCCTTCTGCTGGGAAAGGCTTTCCCGTGTCTCCTTGCATACCTCTGGGACACACTGAGCACAGTTCTAGGCTTATGAAGGGCTCTTCAGTCACCCCTTCAACCATCTATCCTATCAGAATGGATGCTCAGGATTCCTTCAGCTTCCTCTGGGTCATGAAAAGCACAGCACAGCAAGAGAGCAGGGAGGCCTCCTTTCCCTCCAGGCTCCAGCTAGACCCAAGAAAAGTCTTTTCCCAGGCAGTGCCTCCCCCATGAACCCTGCCTCCCAAGAGAGGCTGATTAGAGAGAGCAAGACAGGGGGCAGCTAGGAACAAATGCAACTGAGCATTTTCTATGGAGTCAGGCACTAGACTGAGAGCTTTTCTCTCTGTTACCTGGTGACATTGAAGTAAAGCCTCATGTTCAAGACAAGGACACAAAGAAATGAGGTCATGGCAGAGGGTCACCCAGCTAACAGGAGGCGGAGTCATACCACCCCTAGCCTTGCTTTGTACTGGGAGACACGTTCAGGTCTGGGAATAAGGGAAGGGTACCATTTACCCCCTCCTCTCACGTGCTCCCTTAGGCCTTCTACCCCAGACCCCAGACATGGACAGTCCTCCCTCAAATTCCTGGCACTGGAGAAGCAACCCTCAGAGGGCAGGGGGCTGTACCCACCCAGCCGCCAGCAGCCTGCCTCTGAGCATTGTTCTCCACTTTCGATAAAGGAGGCACTGAATCAGCCTCAGGCCATTGTGGCTGCCTGGGGGAGGGGGGCTGGTGTGGGAAGCCAGACAGGTCAAGGGGTGACTACCCTATTCATTCCCAGCTAGCCACTGGAGACCTGAGAGCTTCAGCTCAGCCAGTGAGGAGCCCCAGGCCCACAGTGTCCAGGAATGGGGAGAACAAAGAGGTCTCTGGAGATGGAAAGGAAGGGAGGAAGCACTCACCAGTTTTCCCACCCTCCACCCTCCCTGTCCCAGGGGAAGAAAGGCCATGGGCACAGTGAGATCAGCAGGGACCGCCAGCTTCCCTGGGGTAGAAAAGAACTCCGAAGCCAGCAGACCTGGGCTTAAGTGGCACCACCTTCTCCACCTGTGACTTAAGAGGGTGGCTTAGTGGCTGAGTCTCAGATTCCACCTCCTTAACATGGAGACAATCCCTGTCTTGCAGGCATCTTGGGAGGATTAAGTGAGATTTCGTGAAGCACCCACCCAACACTTAGCCTGCAGGAGCTCAGCAAGCAAGCTTATGTCCCTGTTCTTGGCTGGGATTTGTCTGCCTCAGGTGCCGAGACTAATGAGGGCCACCAGAGAACCGGGGCGGCTGTCCTCCAGCTCTCTTCCAAGAGGCCGGAACATCGCAATCCCAGGACTTGAGCTGGCTGGGCAGGAGGTGGCTGGCAGCCTGTCCTAAAGCATCCATCACCCCTGCCTGTACGTTGGCTCTGGACCCTGAGGGAACCAGGGGCCACACGAGCCCCGGGGCTGCAGACCCCAGAGGGACACAACGAGGGTTGGGGAAGGGCAGGGCACCATCAGAGGCCCCTGAAATGTTCTCTAATCTGCTGAACAGGGCTGCATGAAAGTGACACAGAGGTGGGCTCCGGGCCAAAGCAAGGTGCTGGCTGGTTATCTGTGGCCAATTCCGAATCCCAGCAAACATCTGAGTCACTTTCCCACCCTGCTCTGCTTTTATCAAAACACACATGAGCTCAAGGGAAAATGTCTATACTGGAATATCAGCATGAACCAACCCAAGCAGGCAGGTAAATCTTCTGGAAAAAATCATAATTCTCGGTGCCTTTCTACCGCTCCCTACCTGAAAGGATACTTACTGTGAGTTGCAGAGCTCAGCTAACACAAGGGCAGCTGAGTTCTCCCCTCAAAGTCAGCCCCCACTGGGAGAGCCTGGGGCCATGGCCAGGCCTGTAAAGGCTGCCTCGAGGCGGAAGGGCGTCTAGGCTCTGATAAGGCAGGGGAAGGACAGGACCCATGCCTGGGGCCCGCTGACTGTTCCTTCACCCCAGAGACCACAGGGATAATCAGCTCACAGTGTCTTCCGGCCTCAGGCATTTAGTTGCTACCCTACGGTCTCTTGGGGAGGCGAGGGGGAGCCAGCACCAGCTTCACCCCAGAACCAGGCCAGCGCCAGAGGCCAGCAGGCCCCTGCCTCAGGGGGCTGGGTACCCCACACCCAAGTCTCTCCCCTGAGGCAGAGGCAGCCTTTTTCCTACGCTGCCTTACCCTCAAAATTGTGTCCCCTCAAAATTCATGTTGAAGTCCTGACCCCCAGTACCTCAGAATGTGACTGTGTTTGGACATAAGGCCTTTAATGAGGTGATTAAATTAGACGAGGCCATTAAGAGTGGGCCCTAATCCAATCTGTTGTCTTTACAAGAACAGATTTGGATACAAAAGACACCCGGACGTGGTGTCACCCCCCCAAGTGCACAGGGGGACCACCATGGGTAGAGCAAGAAGGCAGCTATCTCCACGTCAAGGAGAGAGACCTCAGAGGGAAGCAACACTGCAGGCACCTGATCTCAGACTTTTAGCCTCCAGAACTGTGAGAAAAGTAATGCCTGCGTTTAAGCCACCTGGACTGTGGTATTTTGTTGCAGCCACCCTAGCAAATTAAGACCCTCCTCTTGATGAGGGGTCTGGGGGGACTTCCTCCTCACACACTGTCAGCTGGGTTGGTGCTCCGAGAGCCACGATAACCCAGGAAGGACCCCTTCAGCTTGGCCCTTCCCCTCAGATGCCCAGCTTCTACAGCCTCCTCCAGAAACCTCCACCTGCCTACAGGCCAATGAGTGGGCCAACCAAGGCAGGGCTGTGTGGGTGTCGGGGACCCAGCTGGAACCGGGGGATGCTGCGAGATGCCAAAGCAATGCAGAAGAGGCTGGGGGGTGGGGGAGACAGTGAAGCAGGGGTTGGGGCAGAAAAGCACCAAATGGCAAAGCCAAAGGGCCTCAGAGCTGAGGATCAGAACGCCCTCACCACTCCCCAGCCTCCTGCCACGGCATTACTATAGGCCCATTTCCCCTCTACACTCAGGAACCTCCTCTTAAAGCCCAGAGAACAGGGCCTTGTTGCAAGAGTACATGCGTGGAACATAAAAAAACTGCTATGAATCAAAATAACCACCTTTCCTGAGGGCTATCAGTGAGTCTCAGTTCCAAATGCCTTGCATGTTTTCTCTTAATCTTCACAATGACCCCCTGAGATAAGTCCTGTATTAGCCCACCTGACACGTGGAATTGAAACAGAGAAGCTGGGCAGCTTGGATGAGGCCTCAGAGTTCTAAGTGGCTATGCTGGGTTTTGAACCCAAGCAGCCTAACTCCAGAGCTGAGTTTCTTGGAGGGGAAGCGGGGACGGCCGGGATCGGAGCCCTTCGAGGCCCCAGCATATGTCAGGGAGGTGACAGCCAGCCAAGGACAGGGCTTTAGGGACAACAGTAGATAAACAAACCTTGTCATCAATTGACCAAATTATAAACACACGGGGCTCCATCTGTGGGAAAGTCTGTGACCTCCTACCCTCCTGCGCGTGGGGAAAACAGCCTGGAGAGCGTCAGAGAGGCAGAGCTACCCCTAAAGGTTTGTCTGTGGTCCATGCACTGGGAAAACGAAAGTGGGAAGGGGCAGGAAAAGCAGGCTGCGGCCTCCATCCGAGGTATGTCACGTGAGCCGCCCACAGAGGGCCCCAGCTGTGCCCTATGGCCAGCCTGCACTCAAAGGGTGCTTCCCTCATCGGGTCTACCGGTCTGCAGGCCAGCTGACCTTGCTTTGGTGTGATGACATGTAAACTGGGAAGGGGAGGGGGCACCGGGTGGCTACAAACCCAGCTCTGCTGGTTATCTGGGGTGAGCCATTTCCCGCTCGGGGCCTCAGATCCCCTGTCAGCCTAACAGGAACCAGTGCTCTTCTCCCTTCTGGTTGAACTCACTGGGGATGAGGGACAAATGAAGAGGGCTTCTTGTGAATACAAGGTTTACCTCAGCTTTTAGGTGAAATGAGGAAACGGAAGCCTGCCTCACCTAGCAGCCCACCTGCCCTCCCCGGCCTAAGGGATGAATGGAGACAAAACGGAGACACTCCCAAAGCAGGGGCTCCCTCAGACCCCCCGGCATTCCCAGGCCTCCCTAGGATTTCCGTGTCCCCCAGGGTTGGCCCAGGTTCTGCTGAGGCTGAGGGAGAGCCCCACCTGGTAAGGGCATTAAGGGATTCCCTGGGCTCCATCCCAGGGCCTTGCCGGGTTCCTTGGAGCGTTCCCATCCACCCTGCCGAGCTGCTGCAGGGCTTTGATCACTACTACACGAAGGGCTTCCTGAATGCTTTCCTGAGGACATTGTTCCCCACTACAGAGTCATCAGGGTCAAATTCATCATGGGCTATGCTGGTCCAGGTCCCACCCAGTGGGGAAAGCCAGCCCTCTGCCCAAGCCCCACTTCCCCTGGGAAAATGAAGCCAGTGGCTTCTTTTGGTTTCACTCATGACCAGCCTCGGGGAAGACAAAGCAGTAGCAACACAGTGCCGCCATTAGGTCAAGGCGGCCAGGCGCCTCAAAGCACACGCCCGGTGGTCTTGCCCCCTCAGCTTCCACACAAGCTGGTCTCCGCACCCAGCCCCAGTTGTCGGCTCCACCCCAGAATCACACTCGAGGGGCCTCTTAATTCACTCAACATTTATTGAAAATGACTCTGTGCCAGGCCCCGAGACGGGCAGAGGTGGATAAGACGTGGCGCCTGCCCTCAAGGAACTCACAGTCTAACGGGGGAAGACACACACCCGTTACAGTGCCTTGTAACAAATGCCACAGGACAATGACCACAGGGCTGGACAAGCAGGGAGGGAAGGACAGCCTCCGCTTAGGAAAGTGCCTTTGAGCCTGTACTATATCTTGCAGCGTCACAGGAGTTCACCAAGTAGCCAAGGAGGAGGGACACACGATGGACATAGAGGTATCAGGATTGGAACAAGCATCATGTGCTCAGGAAGCGGCAAAGGCTGGCCTCTGTCCCAGGGATGATGGGAGGAAGGCTGGAGCAAGCTGGTGAAAGAAGGAGTGAGGCAAGCCAGGGGCTCTGGTGAGAGGAGCCATGGAGGTCTTTAAACAGTGACCTCATCAGAAATGTCTTTTAGAAAGAAAATGCTGGCAGAAATAGGAAGAATTTCCAGGAAGAGACTGACAGTTTAGGCAAGATGATGCGATACAGAGGAGGGTAACTGCAGGTTGGCTCAATGGAGCCCACACGAGGGGGGGTGGGGGAGGGAGTCAGACAACAAGGGAGAAACAGGACAGAGGGGGAGGGCTCCACGCCAAACCTGGGGTGGATTCCCTCAATCTTCCCAACTCTGTGAGGGAGGCAGACGCATCCCCACTTTACAGATGATGTTTGGAGAAGTGAAGTGACTTTCCTAGTCACACAACTAGATTACGGAGCTATCTGCAAACCCATCATTCGAGACTGGAGGGAAATCCAGACTAATTACTCTTCTCCATTCTTAAAGCTGGTATCCCAAAGACTGCTCTTTAGCAAATACTCTGGGAGACTGTGTACAGAAAAGGAATAGAAGAGCATTTATTTCCATTTCATTATTCAGACTGGCTGCCATCCAGTGCGCTAGAAGTAAGGCTTCACTGGACTATCACGTAGCACTCGCGGTTTTCAAAGCGTCCTCGGGATTGGTTTCTCCTTCTCTTTACACCATCAGCAGGGAACACACTCACGTCCCCAGTTTGCAGGTGGAGAAGCCAAGTCCAGGGGAAGTGAAAGATCATGTCCCATGTCACCCAGTTTCCTTGTCCCCAAGTCCAAGGCTCTTTCCTCTACCTGTGCTCCTGATACAGGACTCCTGGGGATTCTGCAACCCCTTGCTCCCCACTTCCCATCTCTGACCGTGCAGACGGCACCAACAGAACTGCTACTTAGTGACACAGGTCTGGCCAGCTTGGTTCTTATCCAAGGCAGTCCCTTCTGTAAAGTATTCCTAAGAAGTCCTCAGCCACCAGGCCTGTCAGGGTCCTGTTATCACTCTCCCAGCCAAGGCTGGTCCTGCCTCCAGATCCCCACTTCACCAGGATCACAAGGATACATGCAACTATTGCAGGAAATGGAGGCTTTTCCTGCAGTAAAATGAAAGCAGCTAACATTATTGAGCACCTACCTACTGGTTGTCATAGACCCTGCTAAAAACTTTACATGTTACCTTAGCCTGATGCCACCCAGCAAAAATAGGTACTCTTATCTCCATTTTACAGATGAGGACAGTGAGGTTCAGAAAGGCTAAGTGACTTGCCCAAGGTCATTCAGCTAGTTGCGGAGGCAGTATTCATAACTCAACTGTTGGACTCGAGAACGCACTTTATTTTTAGTCTGCCACGCTGCCCTGGCTCACCACTCTACAAGTGCAGAGACGTCCACACCAAAGTGGAAAAGGAAAAGGGAGGCAAGACAGCTTTTCCATGTTTGCTGCCCAGCTCCCAGGCAGCTTCAGGGAGGCTAATCCCATGGTGTTTCACTCGGCCAACAGTCCCACCAGCCTGGGACCCTGGGAAGCCGGCGAGAGTCAAAGGGCTCCCTGGCAGGCTTATCCTGGCAGCTGCCCAGCTGACTTGTGCTAACACAGCAACAGGCACAGGAAAGGCTCTAGAGGGAGTGGAAAAGCACCAGACACTGGGCCTCTGAGGGGACAGAAGTGATTCCTGCCCAGCTCAGACAGGATAACCCTGCTCTAAAGCCACCACCATCACTGGACCGAGAAAACACCCGAGAAGGGGCCAAGCACCTTTAGCAAGCACCAAGCACCTCTCCTTACTAACAATGTGTTTCAGTGAGTCGTGACAATTGGGCCAGTCCAGAAGAGGGACATGTGCCTCCAAGGTGAATCAGCAAGCATGGAAGAAACCAGTGCCCTGGTTCATTCCAGCCACCTTGGCCTGCCTTTGCCCACAACCACAGGAACCCTGCTACTCGATGTCACCTGAGCAGAGACAAGAAGGCACGCACTGTGTCAGAGTTCCACCGCGGCAGCAGATCCCGGCCAGCCGTGGGAAAGAAAGAGCCAGCTGGGGATATTAATAGACCTGCTGGCGGCAGAGATTCAGTGAGCGCAAACCCTAGGAAATGAAACTGCCCAAGAGGGGGCATAAAATGAGACTCCTGGAAGGGAGCAATGTAGGTTTCCAAAGACAGGGCTTCGGCAGCCAGGCCCTGGGCGGAGCTACATCAGCAGTGACAGGGTTATTCTGAAATCTGCAAATCCAAAAATGTCTTAGTTTGTAGGAAAACTTTTTTGGTGCGGTTTCTGTAGGTTTTCTATCCTCTAAAGTTCTGCTTAGACTGATATTAGATATTAAGTATCTAATATCTATTAGACTGGTTTCAAGAGAAACTAATCCTGGGCCCTAATATTTGCCACAAGTTGTTATACTGCTTTAAAAAAAAAAAAAAATGTATACCTCGCAGGTTTCACTGAAAGGAAAGGGACAGTTTGAGAAGTCACAAATTGGCAGCTACTGGATGAAATTAAATCCACGGGTATGTTAGCAGGCTTTGAATTTTTTAAAAAATCAAATGTCAACATTTAAAAATCAAGTTTCCAAAAAAAAAAAAATGCGTAATATTCTAAATTTCTAGCATCTTTTAGAAAAAAGAAAAAAAAAAAACGAAAAATTTGGCATCACAAATTGGAAGATGCTGCATGGCCACTGCCCCCTTTAGGCAGGCCGGTCCCTGTAATTCCTGGCCGGTTCACTTAAGCCCCGCTCACTTAAGCCCCCCCCTCCTCCCCGGACTGACCCCTGGGGGCATGCGCCTTTGCCGCTCCTTGTTAAGCCCAGGGAAGGGCTGCCAGGCTTGGTCATGCTCAGGACCACCACAGGGCGGCAGCACTGGTCTGTCACCCGCCAGCGGGCTAACCAAGCTGAGCTCGGCACACCCTTGCAAAACCAGACATCTCATGCTTACCTCAGTGGTAGACACTCACTCACTCATTAGATTTATTCCCTAAAAGCAACAGTGGCTCATTTCAGCATTCCCACTCGCTTCAGGGACTGAGGAGGGCCACTAACGACTTGCTCTCTCCTCTGGCCACCCCCTTCCACATCTTCCCAGCTCCGCCCACCCACCTGTTCAGGAATTCCACCTCCACCCACCTGTTATACCAGCAGGCCTCAGATCCCAAGAGAAGAGAAGCAGGACAAACCCACCCCCACCCCCACCCCCACCCCCATCACCTTGAAAGACAGTTCATTCTTCATCATATGCTCCTTACTTGCTTTTGCTCACTTAGGTTACATGTCAGTTGACTTCATGGACAATAGGTTCTTACACCTCTTCCCACCCTCTGCTCTCACTGCCCTTCCAACAGCACTAGTGACATCTTAAGCGGCAGCGTTTAGTATAAATTCCTGCAGCCATTTAAGAAAGACCTTTGGTATTATGCATCAAGGTCCTCAAAAATGCACATCCATTTCACCCAAAATGCCATTTGTGGTTCCTGCCATGGACTCCAAAATGCAGGAAAAGCTTTATGAAAGATATTCATTGCAATATTTACACTAGTGAACCACCAGAAACAATCCAAATGTCCAGTAACTGGGAAATTACTGAAAACTACGTTTTTCCCACTTGATGGGCAGTTGTGAAGCTATTAAAGTAGGATTGTGAAGACCATGTGATAAGATAGAAAAAATGATTACGATATGAGAAACTATGTAAAGAAAGAATATAAAATTAAGTGGACAATAATGTAAAAATCTTAAAAACCTATGCCAAGAATTAGTGAAAGGGAACAAAATGCTACCTTTGCAGTTGTACTAGAGCCCTAGTTGGGGTTGGGCATGGGGCTGACCCTTTTTAAATCTCTACCAAATGTTCTTTAATGTATATATATTATTTTTATAGGGAAAAATGTAGTTCTGTGTACAACTGGGAAATTTGATAGCAATTCTTAAGCTCCCTGGTCTACACTGAATTCACACTTTGAAATATCCTATAAGCCTCTTCCCATCATGATAAAAAGGCTGCTGGGAACCTGCACGTCCAGGACTCACTGCCTGGGCCCCGGAGCCCTTAGTTAAAGGCCAGTATTATCTACCCCTGAAGTGCCTGCACTTGCATAACTCCTAAGGAGACCCCAACACTATCTGGAAGATAGGATTCAATCAATATGGTTCTCAGATGCCACTTTAATCAAGTTTTGTACCATACAGTGATGGGGGGGGGGTGAAAAATCATGACTGTTTTCAAGCAAATTCACCTGTCCCAAGGCAAACTGCCTGGACTTCCAAGAACAGAAAAAGGCTTTCCTCCCCGAGGAGTCTCTTTCCTGACCTGATAGGATAGGATTTCAGGAAGAATGAGCACAGGAAGAGGGCAAACTAGTGAAAGAAGCCAGGTAGCTTTTTGAATTCTTCCCAGTGCACACAGGAACTAGGCCTGCAGGCATGCCTCCTAAGGCAGCCCCAACTCCAGCCCCTCCCCGCCGAGGCCGAAGAGCCTCCCTGCAGAAGCAGACGGCCATCGTTTATAACACTTCTCCCAGCAGCACGCCCAGAAGCGCAGAAGCCTGCGCACCACACAACGGATGCAACCTTCAGGCCAGAACCCCCAAGGGCCTTTCCTCTTCACTGGCCCCTCGGCTGCTCACGTGTCTGCCTGGCAACAGAACAGCAGCCAGTACGTGCAAGGCTGGGTGGTGCGGGAAGGGCCAGGAGAAGCAACAAAGCAAATGACATGTGGGTTCTGGGGCCGGGTAGACACGGTGGCAGGGCCACTCATGGCCCACAGAAGGACCCATGGGGCTCTGTGTCCTCCATTAGTTCTTCTCCGGGCGGTTTCTGTTCAGGACAGCTTTAGGGGCAAATTCCAGCTTGTCCTTAAGGCTCACCACCTGGGTGTGGTCCTTGCCTAGCAGTTCATCCAGCTTGCGGTCCTCCCGGCGCTCAGAGATGCTCTTCTCCTCCTCCGCGGGCTGGGGATCCTTTCCCCGGATGAACCATTCCAGGTGGTAACCCACGGCCCCGACCACAAAGGCCACAGGAAATGTGACATAGGGAGCATAGGTACGCACCACGGTCCAGAGCACAGGCCACATGACATCTGCAGAAGAGCACAAGGCCACATTAGGGAGAAACCAGCACCCCCTCTTCCCCGAATATGGACAACCCAACCCACTGGGGCTCTCCACTTCCCAGGCAGCCTGGCACAATTTACTGAGCATCCACCCCAGGCAGAGTAATCCAAGAGGGTACCTTGCTTTAGGCAACAGTTCGGGCCCTGAAACAACCTAGGCAGTTTTCAAAGACATGATTGTTAGGGAAAGGGGGAAGAATCTCTTTTATGTACTATGCTCTTTGACAATTACACAACCATGCATGGCAGTGTTCCCCACAAGGGAACCTCTGAGCTTACCTACCAAAGATTCAAGTCTGTTATTGACCCCAGGCCCTGCCTCCGCAGTTTGCCAACATTACAGGAATGGACAAGAGCCTTTCTCCGCTCTATGCAGTTTCTCCATGAACACAGCCAGCCATAATTTTCCCACCATGTGTAGTCCCACTGTGAGTCTCCTGGCTCCAAGATAATGAGAAGTAGTTTCTTTGCCTCACAAAAATAATAAGGAGCATATTTAAGTGGCCAAAACCCTAATCCATTACTCAACCATTCTGGATGTTATATAAATGATGATTTTTTCCTATTCTGACCTTGATTTCCCTAACAATGAGATATATTTATACTTTACAAAACTGCTGCCCAAACCTCTTTCAAAATACGTTCTCTTCGGGGCACCTGGGTAGCTCAGTTGGCTAAGCATCCAACTCTTGATCTCGGCTCAGGTCATGATCTCACAGTCAGGAGATCAAGCCCCACGTTGGGCTCCTTGCTGAGCGTGGAGCCTGCTTGGGATTCTCTCCCTCTCTCTGCCCCTCCACCCCCTCTCAAAAATAGATAGATAGATAAATAACAATATACATTCTCTTCAACCAAGCCCATACCCTCATTTTGCATAATAAACTCCTAAAAATATCACCAACACTGAAAAACTAGGGCTTGAGTTTTTCTGTAAAAAAACAAAAAAAAACACTGTACAAGCCCATGGCAGAAAAAAAAAGGTGGAATGGCTCTGGAGCGTCCTGAAAGTAAGTAAATTAAGCTCTTACGTGCCAGTCCTTGGGCTAAGCAGTTTATATACAGTATTCCCTTTAATCGTCATGTCTACTCTAAGAAGTAGATGGCATTATCAGAGGGTTAACTAACTTGCCCAAAGTCTCAACTAAAAGATCATTCCATTTGCACTCTGTAGGTGTTTCTCCAACTTGGCTATCTCTGGTCTAAAGTGTACAACTGAAACCTCACCAAGGATAAAATGATTCTCTCTTTTTGGTTCCAATTCTCTTTGGAGAAATCCAGTGTTCTGTGCACCAAGACTATAATGGATCATCATCAAGGAAAAAGACTGCAGCAGCCTCAAGGTTCCCCTCTGGGTCCTTTGTCTTAGCACCAGGCCCTATGCTGGACAAGTCACACACTAGTCATCACCTGATCTTTACAACACCTCTATGAGGCAGGAATTATCAGCCCAGATTTGTGTCTAAGGCCACAGTGGCTCAGGGACATTATGTTAACTTGTCCAGGATCACTAGAAGTGACACAGCCACAGCTTTTGAATCCAGGCCTCTCCAAACTTCAATGCTTGTGCTCTTTCTAGTGGTAAGAACACATTGCAGACAGGTGTATTGTTTCCTCCAAGTCCTGGACTTGGGGAGAGCTTCCTGCAATTTCTTCCCATCTACTTGGCATGTCACTATCTGGAAGAGCTTCCCTCTTGGGCAAACTCTAAGATTACTCAGATTTGTGAAATCATAAGACTTAGAAGTTGTTAAAACTCCGATGAAGAACCTCAAACCTAATACTTCATTTTCTTTCCTTTTATGCAAATTCCCTATAAGTAAACACTTACTCTAAACAGCAATCCTCCATTCAGATCCCTCATTTGCCGTCAAACATAGCAAGCATGAGTCCACAATTCATATCACTCCCCACATGCAGCAAAGGTCTCTCTGTCGTCCTGCCCACTCTAACCATTCCCCAACTAGTCAATTCATTCATTTACTCAACACTTAGAACCACTTTTCTGTGACAGATGTTGGGCTGGCAGCCTCCCCTACTTATCTGCATTTCTCAAAACACTTAAGCTCCAAGAGAGCAAGGACCATGTCTGTGTGCACCACCCCCACCCCCCACCCCCCCGCCTGGTATAAAGCTCCCCAAAACAGTTTGTTGAATGAATGAATGACAGCTCAGACAACCCGCCAATGTAAAATCACAGCAGTCACCCACCCCCTCGCCCTCAAAAGGCGGCAGGAATACAGCAGGCTACTTTTCTGATTCCAAGAAGCTAAATACTCTCCAAGTCATCCCTGGGGTATCAAAATGAAAGCAGTAAATACTGGAACGTATTCTTTCCGGCCCAACACAGAGGGAGCCTGAGTGCCCGGTAAAGGTCAAGTGGGTTCCCGGGAAGCCTGTCCTTGTACCGGCGCCCCGGAGACCCAATGAAACCCGAAGCCGCAGTTCCGAGATTTGAGAACTGTTAACAAGGGCAGATGAGATCTGACAGGGTGGAAGGACCGACTCTGACCGTCACTCGAGACCAGCCCAGAGATGGGAGCGCAACTGAGGTCCACGTCCAAGTATCTGCCCTTCTTCCTCCTCTGGGCTCCCAGGCCCTGCCCGTTATCCAACCACGCTCGTGGCCTTGTCGGCGTCCGTTCTCACCCACGTGCCTGAGGCCGAGAAGCCCTGGTCGCAAAGGGTCTGCTGGGAGCCCAGACTCAGCTTCCGAGCCCTGGGAAGAGAGGAGCTGTCAGGCCGGGGCGGGAGCAGACACTCGCGATCACCCTTCCCTAATTCAGAGGTCACTGCCTGGAGCCGTCCCCCCGGCAACGGGCGGCCCCGGCGGCCGCTCTGGGGGAGGGAACTGCCCGCCGGGACCGCGTGCTCACCTGCGCCGCAGCCCGCACTGCACCGTCCGGACCCCGTCCTCCGCCCGCTCACTCGCCTGGAGCACCGATGTCTCCACTCCCAGCGGCCCGCAGGCCCTCGCCCCGGGATCCCGCCCACCGGCGCCTGCTCTCTCGGAGCGCGGCGATTGGCTGAGCTCCAGCCAGAGAACCAGAGGAAGCTAGGCGTCCTCAGCAGGCCCCGCTGCACAGAGAAGGGTACTGCGCCCCCTGGTGGTATGGAGGTTTCCCAGTGACGTTAGCATGTGCTTGTCGCGGGGAGAAAGTGGAAGGTCATCCATTCTTTATTCAACTGATGTTTATTAGGCGTCTTCTAAGACCTAGGTCTGGGCACACAAAAATTAAAGACAGATTCCTTGACGTCAAGATCTTCTTAGCAGAATATAGTCTAGAACTCTAAGAACGCTTCAGAGCTGGGCTAGCTTTCTAGCCATGTGACCTTGGGAACATTATTAATCAGCCTGCGCCTCCTTTCCAGCTTATGCATAAAGGTAATAACACCTATTTCACAGAAGGTTGGCAGGGTTTGATGAGATAATGCATGTAAAGTGCTGTGCCAGGCACAGAGCAACAGGGAAATAAATGGTACTATCGTTGGTATACAAAAAATTGAAATGCAGTAAAACCTAAGTCTTACCTGACCCCTCAGATACAAGTATTCACCCCCCCTGTATCCACTATGCCCTGTACAGACACGTATTTGATCACATACAGTTGACCTTCGAACCACAGGGGTTTGAAACTGTGTGGGTCCACTTATACACGGATTTTTTGCAATAAATACAGTACAGTACCATAAATATATTTCTCTTCCTTATGGTTTTCTTAATAACATTTTCTTTTCTCCAGCTTATTTTATTGTAGGAAGACAGTACATTATATATATATATAATATACAAGATATGTGTTAATCAACGGTTATCTGTAAAGCTTGTGGTGAAAAGTAGGCTATTGGTAGTTCAGTTTTGGGCGAATCAAAAGTTACACACGGATTTTCGACTGTTCAGGAGGTGGGTACCCCTAATGCCCTCATTGTTCAGGGGTCAACTGTGTAGAGAAAAACACCAAAGCTCAAGTTCCATAACCCCCCACTAGCCCCTCTGACATCTGTTCCACGAGTCTCAGCCAAGCATGTTTATCTGTAGGACGCAGGCTAAACTCATATTCCTCCATGCAGACCAAACAGTTCACACCTCTGTGCCTTCTTTTACTATCCTTTTTCATCCACCTGGAGTGCCCCTCCCACCTTTCTTTACCAAAGTAGCTCTGGCTCATTTTTCCAGCTTCAGGGACACCTGCAAACAGGAAGCCGCCTAGATTGCTTAGGGCATCACTTAGCTGCCCTTCCTCTATGATCTCAAAGAAGTCAGTGCTGGAATGCCTGAGTGGTTCAGTCAGTTGAGTGTCCGACTCTTGATTTCAGCTCAGGTTGTAATCTCACGGTTCATGAGATAGAGCCCTGTGTCAGGCTCTGCACTAACAGCCTGGAGCCTGCTTGGGATTCTCTCTCTCCCTCTCTCTCTGCCTCTCCCACCCTGTCAAAATAAATAAATAAACTTAAAAAAAAAAGTGCTACGCTCTGGAAGTGGAGATAGAGAGAAAGGAACAGTATAAAGAAACACGTAAATGTGTAAGAAACCATTATTAGCAGAACTTGTTCCTCAAAAGAGAGGAGAAGGAAATAGAATTGCCTAGAATAATTAGCATTCAGTCAGCCAATCCACATGTTCTAGGCAATGGGGATGCAAAATTGACTGGGACCACCCCTGTCCCAGGAGTTTTCTGAAGAGATTGCCCGGCCCTGAAAGCAGAGGGGTCTGTGAACTGCCAAGGGAGTGACAACAGAAGCATGCACAAGCAGCCCAGAGGAGGAGCCCAGGAAGAATCAGAGAGTGCTCACCAGAGGCACCTACCCTTGAGCTGAGTCTTAAGGGATGGCTGGTAGTTCCGTCAAGCAGAACTGAGTGGAGCTCTAGCGTACAGACTTAGGAATCAAATGTGGGTTCAAATTCTGGCCCTGCTGCCTGCTAATCTCAGAAAAGCTGTTTACATCCTTTGTTTAAACACAGGCAATAAGTTCCCATCTCCTAGGGTGGTTCTGAGTATTATATCACCTTCTGTGTATAAAGTGCTTGGCACAGTGCTTGCCCCCCCCCCCGAGTGCTCAGTAAATGGTCACTGGTATGTTCAGTATTCCCCAAATTGCTTCCTCCTTCTGTAATGCCTGTGTCCACTGAAGGCTTTACTTATTCCTTAAGCCAAAAACCTAAATGACACCTTCAAAATCTCTTCGTCTTTGCATTATTCCCCAAACCCAGCTTATGCTTTCTGGAATGTCTCTGAAGTTCTTCATCATCTCTTACCTGGACCACCTTAGCAACTCCCTGAGTGGTCTTCCTGCTTTCCATTGTTCCCCCCAGTCCATTTCCATTCTTAGCCAAAGGGTCTTTCAAAACCTTAAATAAAACCTTGAAATCTCCAGCCAGAACTCCCTCTCTTCCCATGGGTCCCTTCTGGCCTCTCTCTGAGCCTGTCACCTACTGCCAGTCTCTGCTCTTCCCATGACCCCACATACACTTACCCTACCATTCATTTGCCCCAGCTGGTCCCTTTGCCTGAAATGAACGTCCTCCCTCTCTTCCTCTGCTGCAAAACTCTAACTTATCCTGCAAGACCCAGTTTAAAACGCCCCTCTTGCAGAAAGCTTTCCTAGAATCAATTGGCTGCTAGAGGCTCTATCCTCTGGTCTCCTCAGCCCCTCTGGGAGAGGCCTCCCTTTGTATGTACCTGTCTGTTTATATGCCTGGCTATGGCCAAACAGGGAGCAATTTAAGCAAAAGGACTGGATCTAACCCTTCACTTGCCCGTGGAGCCCAGCACATCTCCCCAGTCCTCAACATCCAGGGACTCCCTGCCACATCAGCCCCACATGGGGAGATTTAGACGTCCTGTCTGTAGCAAGATGCCCATTACACTTGTTCAGGGCTGTCCTGTTCCTCTATGCCAGTCCCATATACCTCATGGTCCTGGAAAACCCAGCCCAATTTCTGGGAAAAGACATAGACCCATAAAGAGCTGTATAGTGCAGATGGTAAAACTCAGACGAAGCCACTTCTCAGCTTTGTGATTTGGGGTAAGTTTAAATTCTGAAAGCCTGTTTTCTCAGCTGTATATGATGGTAACAATATCCACTCCAGAGGATTGCTCTGAGTATCATCCAGTTCAAACCCAATTTTAGAGATGAGAAAAACTCCATCTCAGAGAAGTAAAGTGACCCAGACAAAGGCTCACTTGGCAAGTCCAGGGGAAATAGACAAATGGGCATTTCTAGTTGAAACTTTTGGACAGTCATCCAACCTAAATGTTCTCAAACCTGGCTGCCCATCAAAATCACCTGGCACACTTGTTAAAGACTCATTTGGGGGCAGAGAGTCTATTCACAGTCTTGGACAGGGCCCAGGAATCTGTTTGGGATCAGCTCCAAGCTGACTCACTTTGGGGAATTTGGAACATATAGGGCTCCTCACTACCTTCCAGTGGCCTCATCTAGGCGTGTGTGTGTGTGTGTACGACCTCATGCTTTTCAGGTGGTCTCCCACACCAGCCTGGAAAATAGCTGCTTCTGCCACTCTTCTACTCAAAACCCTTCCGTGGCTCCCCGTGGCTCCCCGGACCCAGACCCACTCTCCTTAAGTTGACCCAAAAGCCCAGCATGGTCAAGCCTTTGCACTCCCAATGCTTTCCCTCCTCCTGGCCTTTGCACAGCTGTTATCAGACCTTGGAACAGTCTTCCCAGCCCTGGCACTGCTCCAGTGGCTCTTTCCAGCATTCACCCTTATTCTGTAACTGCTTGTTTACTTATCTGTTTTTCCCATAAGACCATTAGTGCCATAGGATAGCAACTACACTTGTTCAGGGCTATGTTCCAGGTGCTGGCCAGTGCCAACAGTGGTTCTTGATAAATACCTACTAAATAAATGAATGAGAACTGGCTAGTCCAATGTGGCCCAAAAAGGCAGTCAGAGACTTGGATGGCTCTTCTTCCTGCCTCAGGGTGACACATCAACCCCAAGGACCAGAAGGGGTTGCCAGACAGGGTGGGAGCTGTCATCAAACCCTTTCTGGACTGGGAAAGCTGGAGAGCTAAAAGCTCACGGTTTGGCATTAGACAGACCTGGGTCCACCACTATGAGCCCTGCCTGTGACTTTGGACGGGTCACTGAACCTGTCCGGGATTTCAGCTCTCTCACCTGTCATAAGGATGAGCTCCATTCATGTAAATCGCTCTCCCCCTGCCTGACCCGGAGCAAACATCCCATAAACATTAGCCATCACTACCAGGTCTGGGTTTCTTCTTAGCTTCCCAGGAAAGTTCTGTTGTGCCCCCCCCCCGCACCCCCCCACCAAAGTGCCCACCCAGAGGAGGCATCAGAAAAATGTGACAACACTAAATTGAATAATGTTTCTGCTGCTGATCAGTAGTGAGTGGAACAGAGGGAACACCGGACCCTTCGGGGAAGGGAAACCAGTATCCTTCCATGTCTAAGAATAACAGCAAACCCTGTTTATTGAGCGCAGGCCTGCCGGTGAACCAGGCTTTGGACTCTGGGTTGCCCTGTTGGTGGAGGGAAGCCTGGGAGCATTGAGAGGCAGCGAAATGGACTAAACTAGGAGGAGGAGTGAGGAGGAAACCCTCCCTTCTTCACTGCCCCCGGGCCCCTCCAGTAGGGCTCAGATCCTTCGCAGCCACCAGGGGGCCGAATCCCCTTTGCCCCAGCTGGCTCAGGCGACTGGGCTCTCCCCATATCAAAAGAGCCGCTACCGACCTCCCCTCCCACCACCCACTTCCCGACCACCCCCGGCTCCCATGCACGGGGCAGAGGTGGCTCCTTCTGGAGAGAGCAGCCGGCTCGAGTGCAGTTCTGCCGTTTTATTTTTCCTGGGATACTCAAGGGGATGTGGGAACAGCCACAGGTGTGGTGAGGGGAAGCCCCGTCTCCCCTCCCCAGCAGCTGGGAAAGGGGAGAGGCCCAGGCGCCCTGGTCCTGGGTTGGTCCAGCCACTGTGGTCCCTGGGCCCGGTGGGCTGAGGGCTGAGGGTGGAGCCCCTGGGAGGGTGGGGCAGGCTCCTAGGTGGGGTTCGGGATTCTTCATAAAAAGCCAGAAGCTTGATCCCCACGAAGCCCAGCCCCGCGGGGTGGGGGGAAGGGTGGGGGGGACGCAGAGCCCAGATGGGGGACCCGGCCCGGCCTGGCCCGTGGGGGGTAGTAATGGCAGAGATGGTGCCCGTGGGGAGGAGGTGGGGACGAAGCGTCGGACCAGGAGGGAGGGGAGTCCAGGTGGGGGCGCAGGGCGGAGAGGCACGGCCCCCAGCCCAGCCCGGGCGCCTTCGCGTGGGGTCAGGAAGGTAAAAAACCCACGAGAGTGTGACGGGCAGGAGGGGCCGGGGCGTGCGGTGCCGGCGGGGCGGGCGCACGGGGCGGCCCGCGTTCACAGTGACCTCGACGCTGGGTGTACAGTACGGGTAGAAAACCGCGGGCCCGGGCCCAGGCTGGGCGGGCCGGGCCGGTCACAGCCTGGTCTGGGCCTCGGGGATGTAGATCTCGATGCTGTCGGCGCTCTCGGTGGCCGAGCTGTGGCGGAAGGAGGCGGCGCGCTTGGCCGCCAGGAGCCGCTTGCGCGCTTCCTGCCGCTGCCGGTCCACCGAGTCCAGGGAGCGCTCCTTCACCGGCACGCCCCGGCCCCGCGAGGGCTTCTTTGGTATCGGCGGAGGGACCTTCTTCTCCTCCTGCCGGGAGAGGGGGCGGCGGCTCAGTCTGGAGGTCGGGGTCCCCCCACCCCCGATCCCGCCTCCCGTGGGACTGACACCAGGCTCCCGCGCGGGAGAACCGTCCGAAGCCGCCGCCACCGACGCCGGCCAAGAAGTCCCGGGGGTGCTTGCGGCAAGGTCAAAAGCCACTTTTCATTAAAAATTAGGAAACCGGGCGCCCCCTGGTGTCGCCGTTCGCGACTACTCGCATCAGAGCGCTCGCTCCTCCGAGACGGTGGGAAGTGGGCGATATCCCCCCAGTCGGGAGGAGTGCGGCTTCCCTGACTCGTGCAAGGAAATGGGGGTTCGCTACTAGACGTCTGGGCCTCATCACAGACAACCTCTAGTGAAGTGAGGGCTGACGGGCCCGCCAAGGTCCCCGCTGTGCCTAGGTCCAAGCTAAGGGCAGTCTGGAATTTCGCTCCTCTGCTTCTTCAAACTACAGCTGGTCCTAGGCGGCTGCAGCCACCTCGGGGCTCTGGCAGCTCAGGCAGTGATGAGCACAGGGCCAAGCAGATGGCAGTGACCAAGAGTGGGATCATATTGAAAGAAGATGGTCACCATCACCTGTCCAGGACTGCCTTTGCTCCCTGTGAATGTCCTCTGTTCCCCTGCCTCTCCCCACAACAGGTCTGTCTGGGGAAGGGCATTTTCCAGTCTGTCCTTTTGGCTTGAAGGGACTCTCCCCTACCTTAGGCTCCAGGAGTTTCCAGCTGTTGGCCTTAAGTTGCTGTAGCTCCAGGAACTTGAGGGTCACATCCTCAATAGACAGCTGCAGGAGATCCCAAAAACCCGCCAGGTCCTGGAAGGTGGGCACGGGAAACGCAGTGGGGTCCTTTAGTGGAGAGAGACAGAGGAGAGGCAGCCAGTCAGGAAGATCTGTGCCCCAGCCAGGACCAGAGAAAGCCCCATCCACCCTCACTGTCAGGAAGTTCAACCTGGGACAGTGGGGTGGGGGGATGAGAGACAGGGAGACAAGAGCGAGCCCAGGCCTCTCCCTGTTGGGCACAAACACCTGGTCTCACCTCCAGGAATACGCACACCTGGTAGGCTCTAGCCCATGGGCACTCACCATGCTTTGCTGACACAGCCGGAAGAACTGCTGAACTTTCTGGGACAGGAGAAGTTGTGTACTGCCCACGGCACTGCGGATCTTCTCCAGGACTGGAGAGCAGAAGGAGATTCAGGGAAGGGCCGGATGACTCTCCTTTGCCAGCCTCCAAGATGTCTGCCCTGAATGACTCAACCTTCCCGTATCTGGTACTCTCTGTCTGTCTGTCTCCTCCAGTCCCCTCCCCATCCCATCCTCAAGTTCCTAACAAACAGCTCCTACCCCATTTCACCAGGCCAGCTGTATCCTCAGACACCAGTGTTTCTTCCTTCATACAACCTCCATTTCGTAAGCACCTATGCTCCTGTGTCTCTCTTCCCTCCCATGTCATGGAACAGACGGAAGCCAGCCCCAACCTGGCCCTTTAGGCTTAGCCAGGCACTAGCTTGATGACCACCATCGGTCGAATTTTGTCACTCATCAGTATTGGACTCCTTGGCTCATTAAGAATTATGGAAATTTTCATATGCCTGGCTCTTGTCTTCTTAGTCACTATCCCATAAATGTAGGGATTCTGACGTATGACTGTCTCCCCTCAGATGGATTTGCAGAGAAGGGCCATGGCTTCCCTCAGTCCAGGGCTGTGTCTCCTTCACCTAGGCCTCAGACAGTGATCTAACATCATGCACTGCCTTGCCCTCTGCCTTGAAGTATGGTCCCACTCGCTAGATCAGACCTGGACTCCCACACCAGCTCAGATGAGAACAGAGTCCCCTTGATCCCCATGGACTGGGTGACTTGGACTGGCAGCCATCTCCTAAGAGGCCCAGCTCCTTCATCTGGTCACTTTCCCTGTCCGACCTTGACCTCAGCCTCTGAAGCTGCTCCCCACTTCCTTCCAAGAGCTCCCAGCATGCCATGCTGCCAAGGGGAGACCTATGGAGGTCAAAGTCCTCACAGAGGCACACTCAAGCCCAACCAGAGGGCCCCCCTGTTCCACGGCTCTCCGCCCACCCCCAGTGGTGATCTCTTCGCACACACAGGGTCCCCCACTCACTCTCCTCCGGCAGCTCATAGTCCTCCGCCTCGCGCTCCATCTGCTGGCACCAGTGCTCCAGCTTCTCCACCTCCGCCCTCAGCATCTTGATGAACCACTCGCCATCCCGAGGGCAGGGGGATGTGCGGCCTGAGTCGGGGAGGCTACGTGAGCCGCGCTCCATCCAGGAGTCCCGACGGCTGGACCCGGGGCCAGGGGTGGGGGCAGGGGCAGGGCCTGGCGACCCATCGGTGGCCGGCGGCTCGTACGGCAGTGGGTAGCCCTCGCGGTAGGCCCACTGGCCCTGTGTGTGGACCGTGCGGAAGACTGAGTAGGTGGGGGCCCGGGGCCCGGGCTGGGGCTCAGAAGCGTGCCTCTGGAAGGAACGTCCGAACTGCAGGGCCTTGTCTTCTGTGGCCACTGTGGCCAGGCCAGCCAGGCCCTCCAGCTCCAGGTCTGCCTGCACACCCGCCGTCACACTGTTGGAGCGCTTGAACCTTGCCCGCCTGGTGAGAGAGGTGGCTGTCATCCCTGCCCCTTCCTGCTCTCATCGCCATCCTCACCCCCACCCCAGGCCCAAAGGAAAAGGAAGAAGAAAAGAAACCTACAATGTGAAGAAACCTACAATGTTTCTACATCCACGACCTTGAACTATACCAGCCCTTGCAGGTGGGTACAGAATTCCTGTTGCACTGCCTCTGGACAGGGGTGGTATTCAGAATATTTAACAATCTGTACTCGGTGGGCAGAAAAGATGCTGGCATACAGCAATCAGGATGAACGCACCCAAAGTGCTTAGAGCACGGCCTTGCAGAAGCAAGGGGCAAAGCAGTAGGGTGAGAGAGGGACCAGGGTGGTGGCTCTTTACCAATGAACACAGAAACATTTCAGCATTTGGACAAACAGTATGCCTTTGCTAGTTTACAACAACTGCCCGGGTTTGTCTTCAGCCCTTCAGAAACGAGTAAACTAAGGCCCAGAGAGGCCATTGGTCACCCAGCTACAAAACAGCTGAGCCAGGATTTGGACCCACGGCTGCTGGCTCCACAGCCCAAGCATCTCCCAGCACACCAGCTGCTGGAACATCAGGAAGAACTGCCTTGGAGCGGCCGGAGGGTGGGGGGAGCCTGCAGCTGAAAGGACTTCTCTAGGGAGCCCCACAGCTCAGCCCAGAGCCTGGCCAGACACAGTCAGCCAGTGCCAGTGGAGTTGAATTAAGTTGTTGGCAGGAATGACATAGGGCCTGGAAATTTCTTGTCTTTGAGTTAATATGCAAATCCTCTGCAAAACAGAAAGTCAGTTGGCTTTCTTCTGTTTCACCCCCTCCTCAGTTCAGAGTTCTTTCCTATGAAGAAGCCAGTAGCCTCTGAAGTGCATGGAGCTGGGGTCAAACAATGCTTGAAGAAGTGGGAGTCAGGAGATGTGGGGGTGGTGGGGAGGGGTGAACAGAAGTTTGACGTCTGGAAGTTTCCAGACCAAAAAAGAAAGACCCATATGTCCTAAGCTACCCCCACCCCATTACGGTCTAAAGAGAGGGGAACTTGGGGGGCCAGCTCTAGGGACCCCTCAAGCTTCCCAGGAGTCTCCTCCAACCCCCACAACTTCAGCCTTCCTCTTGCTGCCCAGGCCTCCTCTCCCTGCCTGTCTTGCCTGCCTGCTTCCCTCCAGCTGGCGGGCTGCCTGCTGGGAGCCTGTTGCCATAGAAACCAGGCCCAGAAGGATGCTGCAGGACCCAGGAAAGAGAGATGCACTCATGTGCAGTCTCCAACAAGCCCTATGTCCCAACCCCCACCCAGAGAGACAGAGAAAGCAAGAACATATCCGCACTGCCTCCCACATGATCTTTACCCTGGCATCTGCTCTGTCCTGCCCTGGTCAAGATTTCTATCAGCCTCTGCCTTGATGTTGGACCAGACTCCTTTTAAGACACTTCCGTCTCCACTCAGCACAGCACCAAAGAGAAGCACTAGATGAGAAATCAGATCTGAGTTCTAACGCTGGCTTTGTTGCTGTGTGCCTTTGGGGAGTTACTCCCCTCCATCTAGTGTGTAAAATATATCATACAATATATATAATTATACATAAGCATACATGCACACATACATCCTATATAAAATGACAGGAATGGACCAATAATCACTAAGGTACTTCCTCTCTCAAAAATTATACCTTGCATATTTTCAGATCAGGGGCCCAACATTCCCTCACCATTGAGGGAATGTTCCCTCCCTCCAATCCACTCAGGATTGGAGCAGTCTTCCTAAAGCTGATCTCTGCCCAGCTCATTCCCATGCCCCAAACTCTTCCATAGCTCCCCACTGCCAACAACATAAAGTTCAGGTTTCCTCTGCTGGCATTTCCCCAATGCTAGCATCTAGTCTGGAAGCAGTCCTCTTCTCTAACCTCACCGCCCCCTGCATTCTCCTTATTCCCCAAGTCGATTACACTGGCCCTGACTCTAAGCCTTTCTGAAACGGTCTTCCTCCTCCTCCTCCTCCATCCCTCCCTGTCCATTCCCTACTCAAGTCATGTCTTCCTCTGTGAGCCTCCTGATTGCCCCCAAGACCATCCTCAGCACTGCATCTCCCTCAGCAGCCTTCTTGCATTTGGAGACAGCCCCCCCGCCCCCACCCCCAGTTCAGTTAAATTGTTCTCGGTTTCAGGTGAGAGTCTTGTGTGTCTAACTGAACTGTTGGGATGCACTTTCAAAATATCCATCTTGAATATTTCTGTGCCTCTGAGCTCCCGTTAACCTTTGGCTCCTTCAGAGCTCCAGCCGTTGCAAACCACACAGGTAAAGGTAGGGCTTGCCCCAGTAAAAGACATTATTGAAGACCTGCCTTCCCTGTTTGCCTCCCTGGTACCCTCATGGAACATGGCTCTGTCCTTCAGCACCACTGGTGTGCTGCCTTTCACCTCTGAGGGGATCCTGAGAAGATTACATTCTGTCTTGATGGAAACAGGCCACACGGGCTGGAACAGAAGCTTGCATAAGTGCCCCAGGCTGCCTCAATGAAGCCTCTTCACCATGTCTACCTCAAGGAAGACCAAAAAAGTTAGAGCTTATGGGAATACTAGAAGCACAGTCTTTACCAATACTCCCAGCAGGGGGTCAGAAAGTGGCAGTGTTTCAGCAGGAGTCAGTCAACCTTGTGCAAGTGGTATTTTTCTTTAATTTTTAAAAATATTTGTTTATTTTTGAGAGAGAGACAGAGAGCACAAGCAAGGGAGGGGCAGAGAGAGGGAGACACAGAATCGGAAGCAGGCTCCAGGCTCTGAGCTTTCAGCACACAGCCCGACGCAGGGCTCAAAACCATGAACTGTCAGATCATGATCTGAGCCGAATTTGGTTGCCCAACCGACTGAGCCACCCAGGCACCCCGTGCAAGTAGTATTTAAAACCAGCAGTGTAAAGCACCTGGCTGGCTCAGTCAGTGGAGCGTGCGGCTCTTGATCTGGGGGTTGTTAGGTTCAAGCCCCATGTGGGGTGTAGAGATCACTTAAGAATAAAATCTTTTAGGGGTGCCTGGGTGGCTGTCGGTTAAGCGTCCAGCTTCAGTTCAGGTCATGGTCTCACGGTTCAGGAGTTCGAGCCCCCCACTGGGCTTTCTGCTGACAGCTCAGAGCCTGGAGCCTGCTTCGGATTCTGTGTCTCCCTCTCTCTCTGCCCCTCCCCAACTCACTCACTCTCTCTCTCTCTCAAAAAAAAAAATGAATAAACATTTAAAAAAAGAAAAGAATAAAATATTTTTTAAAATTAAAAATAAAAATAGAGAATAAAACCAGCAGTGTGGGACATGATCACCTAAGAAAAGAGCAATGGAACAGAGATGCAAAGCCCTGGGGAACATGGACATTTCATGAGTGGATGGAGACAATGTAGCCCCAGAGGCATCTAAGCCACAGAGGAAAAGGAAGAAAACCAGGGGAGAGTCACCTAAAGGCAGAGAGAAGACAGAAGGGTCTCAAGAAGGAATGAGCAATTGACATGGAAAATACAGCCAGTTGAGAATTAAAGGTGTCTACTGATTTGGCAATATGGAAGCCTCAGGAGACCAGGGCAAGAGCCAGTTTGGTGGAGCATGGAGGCTGAGGCAGATGGCAGGAGGTTGTCAGGAGGTGGAGAAAACTAGGCAAGGCAATTCTTTCAAAAAGGTTAGTTGAGAAACGAGGAAGAGAGAAAACAGTATACCTTTAAGGGAGCGATATTTTGGCTATTTGTCAATTGTATCTCAATAAAGCCGGGGGGAGGGGAAGAGAGGGATATTTTGTCTAGAATGGTTCTCCCATGCCATATCTTGACAGGAGAGAACCTACAGGGGAAGCAGCATAATGGTCAAAGAGGTCCATGTCCTAGCTCCTGGAACCTCTGAATAGGTTACCTTCCGTGGCAAAAGGGACTTTGCAGATATGGTTATATTAAGTATCTTGAGATGAGGAGAAAAGTCTGGATTATCCTGGTGTGTCCAATTTAATCACAAAGGTCCTTATAAGTGAAAGAGGGAGACTGGAAAGTCAGAACCAAAGGAGATGAGATGACAGGATCAAGGCTGGAGTGATGTAATGTGGGGACTCAACCTGCCATTGTGGCTCTAAGACAGAAGTGGGCTACAGGGCAAGGAATGTGGACAACCTCTATAAACCAGGAAAAAGTGACACAATGGATTCTTCCCAGAGCCTCCAGGAGTCCTGCCAATACCTTGATTTTAGCCCAGTGAAACACAGTTCAGACTTCTGACCCCTAGAAAAGTAATATAATAAAAATGTATTGGGGCACCTGGGTGACTCAGTTGGTTAACTGTCCAACTCTTGATTTTGGCTCAGGTCATGATCTCACCATTCATGAGTCTGAGCCCTACATTGGGCTCTGCCAACGCTTCTCCCAAGCGAGAAGCCTGCTTGGGATTCTCTGCCACCCTCTCTCTCTGCCCCTCCCTCCTACTCACATGCATGTTCTCTAAATAAATAAATAAGTAAGTAAGTAAGTAAATAAATAAATAAATAAATAAATACTTTAAAAAAATTTTAAATGTATTCTTCAATGCTGCTAAATCTGTGATAATTGATTATAGCAGCAATAGGAAACTAACACAACCTGTAAAGAAAAACTGATTGGAGAGGAAAGAGGAAGTAGTCAAATGACCAAACATAAGGGCAATAAATAATAACTAACATGCTTTGAGCACTTAGTGTGTGCTAGACTTAGCATTTTGCATAAAAACATGCTAAGTCCTCAAAAACAGTCCCACGATAAGAGTGTCAGTATCATCCCTACTTACAGATGAGAATACTGAGGCTTAAAGAGAACAAGTGGCCTCTTAAGATTAGACCGTTATTGGGGCGCCTGTGTGGCTCAGCCAGTTGAGTGCCCAACTTTGGCTCAGGTCATGATCTCACAGTTTGTGAATTCAAGCCCTGCGTTGGGCTCTGTGCTGACAGCTCAGAACCTGGAACCTGCTTCAGATTCTGTGTCTCCCTCTCTCTCTGACCCTTCTCCCACTCATGC